AACGCTGGTGGATTCATCTCATCAGTCAGAGTGAAATGAGGTTTTAATCTGCTAATAATCTTCTCACATCGTTCCTTCAGTGTTATTCACCCAGTTTAAGACGAAAGATCTCTTTAAATCTATTAAAGAACAATTGGGAATACTGACTAACAGCCACATCTGAGAAAAAGACGATAAATAACAGCTGATTAATCAACTCGAACACGCTGAACTACCATGTAATTATAATGTGTTTTAGTCAATAATAAACCAGACGGGATATAAACTGATGACGGATTATCTTTCTTAGGAACAAACTGAAACTAAAAGCCTCCTTGAGGGAAGAGTCTAGAAATTAATGGTTTAATTTAAAAGCAAAACCCTGCAGAGAATCTGGTCCGCTGTTTAAGAAGCCGGTTGGTTCACGCTGGTTAATAGTTAACCGGGAGATAAACAGTGTTTGCTGTGCGCCAGGACGGAGCGGCCTTGGAGAGCAGCCAGCGCCGCTCCGTCCTCATCACAGGAGCACTTTGCTCTGGCAGCTCCACTGTTCAATACACAATTCTCAGAAGCTGTCAATAATTCACCGCTGTTTGGTGAAGTCTGGTTGCTTAAAGCCACACCGGAGGAAAGGAAATCAATGGGCAGGAGGAATTGTAATTTCACTTTCATGCTTTCTTTAACCTTAACCTCTCCGACTTGGATCAGTGATCTCCACGGTCGCCCCGCGGGTGTGCCGGCCGACGGTCTGTCACAGTCCTGTGATCCTGAGCAGGCAGGAAACCAGATATTTATTATGTGGCAGTCTGAAGTAGAGTCTGTGTTAAAAAGAGAATCCCTCAGAGATTTCTGTCGGCCGCATTAACCTTTTGAAACGTGGATTTCCTCCTTAAATGTTCAATTAAATGTTCCCTTGACTCCCGCTGATATCTCCAGATTTCAGCTCGACATTAAAGGTCCAGAGTGAAACATTTAGGACGATCTATTGGCAGAAATTTCACATAGTATCATTAGGGTTGTTTATCATTATAGAAATAAGAATCATTGTCTTTTTGTTACCTAATAATGAGACGTTTCCTCCTACACACTTCAAAAAAAGGCGAGCAGTATTCAGTTGCCGCTAGATGGCACTAAATCCGACACATTCGTCCCTTTTTAAGACACATATTTGATATCTTTGAGGAATAGTTTGACATTTCTCCACAACCCCAGATTGAGTTCAGCAGACACTCGAGTGGCATCAATCTCCTCGTCTTGGCAAGAAAGCGAACGAACATAATTCCCCCAAAACGTCCTTTTAAAAAAACGTCTCTGCTAGAATTTCAAATAAATCCTGTGTCCTTGGAGTTTTATTGTTTGTTTTAAATGGGTTCAGATTGTCTTTTTTTCAAGAAACCAGTTATATCTTTTAGGACTTAAATTTTAGGGGATTATTTTGCTGAGTGCACGCTTGGCTCGGTTTCAGCTTTAAAGAAGTAGTGGCCTTAAAATTTAAAAACCCTAATTACATTACTGAGAGTCCCAGGTGAAGCCTGGAAGAGAAACGCTGAACCAGCAGCACCTGGGACATTTAAATCAGCTGTTCAACAGCGAGTTCGCTTAAAACTACACGCCGACCTACATTTCTCAACAGCGACCGTGGCACCGAATGAATGCAATTAAAAAGTATTAGATGTGCAGATAGAAAGGCGTCCTAACGATGCATCCTCGCTGATATTCTGCTGACGGATCGGACCTCCGAACTGACTAATTATCTCCATTTACTTTGGGTTTTTTTGGGAGCACGAAGCTGGCCCGAATGTCGGTCTGTCGTCTCCGGTCTCCTAATGGGCCCCGAGGAGCCGAGGCTTTTCTGATAATGAGAGGAACATTAACATTCACTCATCTGCCCATTAGACGCCAATGACCCGCTGCACGGCCGTTAGATGTTGTTGTGTGCGCTCGGCTTTGATCGCCCGTTATGTTTCACACGCAGCAGGAAAGTCCTCCCCCTCAGGAGAACATAAAGGGTTGGTAGTGTTGCACTAGTAATGGTGGTGAGTCTGTAAGAAGCTATATGATCAAAATAATCGTGTTCAGTTTTGACTTTTGGATTTGTGAACTTTTAAGGTGAAGATTGACACATAAATGGAGAATTTAATCGTTTAATTTCAATCAGTTGATCAAAATAAAACGACAACTTTAGATCTTTATACACTGAGGATTTCCTGGTTTGATTGATCACCTAACCCAAACATCTTTTTAACTTTGTCTGGAGGAGTTAAAAGTAACAAACAAACAAACAAAAGAAACGCTTCAAAAGATTAAAACATTACAGACTGAAACTTACTTTCATCATCGGCTCACATGGATCAATAAAAGCCCAAAATGAAGATATTTGAACACTAGTGAAGCATTAAATAGAAATATATATAAAGGTGGTTTTAGAAATCAATAATTTATCTCAAATCTTCAGTTTTCCAAAAACTAAAACTAAAAAATGTGTCCATAACAGGTCATTGTATTATTTTCCATTTCCAACTATAACAGAAAGTTTAACAGTATAAAAATAACTTAATAATAATAATATAAAAATAACATTTAATTAGCTGTAAGTGATCTTTTTTTTTAGTTTTAGGCTATTTGTTTATTTATTTAGGTAAAATCAAGCAAACTACATTTAAAAAAAACTCAACAAAGTACTTTCATTGCCTGAGGAATTATCTTCCTTTTATTTGGGGAAACATAATATTTGTAAAACCTCTTCTTTCTGTCCTTACAGGTCAGAGCCAACGACGCCGACACCGGCACCAACGGAGAGATCGATTACAGCCTGCACCAGGCGTCGGACACGGTCCAGAGGCTCCTGCGCATCGACCGCTCCACAGGCATCATCTACGTGAAGGGCCTGGTGGACCGCGAGGAGGAGAGCTTCCTCAAGTTCTTTGTGGTCGCCAAGGATCGCGCACCCAACGCCAAGAGCTCCAAGGTCCTGGTGACCATCAACGTCAAGGACCAGAACGACAACGCGCCCGCCATCGAGATCCGCGGCATCGGCTTGGTGACGCACCAGGACGGCATTGCAAACATCTCGGAGGACATGCCCATCGGCACGCCGGTGGCGCTGGTCCAGGTGTCGGACCGCGACGAGGGGGAGAACGCGGTGGTGACGTGCGTGGTCGCCGGTGACGTCCCCTTTCAGCTCCGACCGGCGAGCGAGTCGGCCAACGACCGGAAGAGGAAGTACTTCCTGCAGACGACCACGCTGCTGGATTACGAGCGTGTGAAGGATTACAGGATTGAAATAGTGGCGGTGGATTCTGGGAATCCGGCGCTGTCCAGCACCAACGCTCTCCGGGTCCAGGTCACGGACATGAACGACAACACGCCGAGCTTCTCTCCCGCGATGCTCGAGGTGGACTTCCCGGAGGGCAACCAGCCGGGCGACGCGGTGCTGAGCGTCGTGGCGACGGACGCGGACAGCGGCACCAACGCGGAGCTGGCGTACAGCATCATCGAGCTCTCGGCCAGCAGGCTGTTTGAAATCGACGCCAACAGCGGAGAGATCCGCGTGAAGAACCTGCTGGATCGGGAGGAGACGGAGCGCTACGAGTTCCGCGTGGCGGCGGCGGACAAGGGAGTCCCGAGTAAAACCGGCACCGCTACCGTGGTCATCAATGTTCTGGACCGCAATGACAATGACCCCAAGTTCATGCTGAGCGGCTACAGCTTCTCCGTCATCGAGAACATGGCGCCGCTCAACCCCGTCGGCGTCGTGACCGTCACTGACAACGACGAGGGCGAGAACGCCAGAGTGAGGCTGTTTGTGGAACCGGACAACGGCAAGTTTGTCATCCAGAACGGCACCGGCACCATCCTGTCCAGCATCTCCTTCGACCGCGAGAAGGAGAGCACCTACACCTTCCGGCTGAAGGCCGTGGACGCCGGCGACCCGCCTCGATCCTCCTACGTCGGCGTCACCATCAACGTCCTGGACGAGAACGACAACGCCCCCTACGTCACCAAACCGGCGAACTCCTCCTACACGTACATGTCGCCGGTCACGCAGCCGGAGACCCGCGTGGAGGTGGTGGAGGCCGAGGACATCGACTACGGCCCCAACGCCGAGCTGGTGTACACCATCACCGGCGGCAACCCGTACGGACTGTTCCACATCTCGCCGACCAGCGGGGAGATCACGCTGGCGCAGGAATTCACCGGCAAGCACACCGGGCTGCACCGCCTGGTGGTGAGGGTCAGCGATAAAGGCAAACCTCCCCGCCACACCACCGCCCTCGTGCACGTCTTTGTGAACGACACCAAATCCAACGTGTCGCTCATCGAGGCGCTGGTCGGGCACAGCCTGTACACCCCTCTGGACCGCGACATCGCCGGAGACCCCAACTACGCCCACGCTCAGCGCAGCAACATCCTGTACGGCAGCCTCGCGGGGATCGCCGGCGTGATCCTGGTGATTGTGGCCGTGGTGGTGATCCGGCACCGGCTGCAGAAGGACACGAAGAGCGGCTACCAGGCCGGCAAGAAGGAGAGCAAGGATCTGTACGCGCCGAAGCAAGGCCCCAAAAACGGCAAAGGGAAGAAGAGCAAAAAGGGTAAAGCCCCGAAACCGGCAAAACCGCTGGAGGAGGACGAAGAGGCGAGCTTACAGAAAGGCCTCAAGTTCAACCTCATCAACGACGCCGTCAACGACAGTCCCAGAATCCACCTGCCCCTCAACTACCCGCCGGGGAGCCCCGACCTCGGCCGCCACTACCGCTCCAACTCCCCTCTGCCGTCCATCCAGCTCCAACCGCAGTCGCCCTCCGCCTCCAAGAAGCACCAGGCCGTTCAGGACCTCCCCGCCACCAACACCTTCGTGGGAACGGGCGACAACAACTCCACGGGCTCCGACCAATATTCGGATTACAGCTACAAGGCCAACCCGCCCAAATACAGCAGCAAACAGGTAGGAGACTACGCAAACACGTACCAGAGGGACATTTATTGGACCGACCGGGTGTGGTAGAACCGATGGAACTCGCTCTCCCACCAAAAGCTGCACTGATTCCCTCACGGCTGGTTTCTGGTTCTGTTTGTGTTTAATTTCTGTTCTGTTCGGTTCTTTTGGTTCTCCACACGGACACTCACTCACACCATTGAAGGATTGCGTAAGGATAGACCGAATATGGGCTTTACCGATTTAAAGTAAAACATTGGGTGACTAAAAAGAAAACCCCCATAATGAACTGGGGTTGTTTATACCCTGTATGTTTGTGTTTGTTGTTGTTGTTGATGTTAATACTGTGTAAAATCCTGATCAATCACTATTGATACCTGAATCCCATATGGGTCTATCCTTTTATTGTTCCACGGTGGGTTAATGAAGGAAGGAGTTCATTCACTCGAGTGTTTTTGAATCTGTTGTTTGAAAGGTTCACGCTGACATCCTCATCAAGTCTGAATGTTTTTGTTCTGTTCTGTTTTCTGGCGAGCTGAAGGTTTTAAAGCTGCTCTTTACGGCCGGATCAGCCCGTTGAAGTGTGACAAAGAGCGACTGTGAGTTCCTGAGTTCGTTCGCTCCCCATTTCTTTTTTCTTTTTATTGTTTCTCTGGCCGGAGGAACTCGGCTGAGCAGCACTTTTAGAGTGTTTCCATCCCGTTCGGACCAATTTAAGGTAATTTCAGGTCGGTCGGGGAGCCAAGCAGGGAAGAAAGAAAAGAGGGAGAAAGAGAAAGAGAAAAGCCGCCACGCTAAAGAAGGAGAAGGTACTCTGAGACTAAATACAACATTTCTTAACCTCGCCACCTTCCCTGTCGGCTCGGCTGAAATACGACTTTTAATTTAGCCGTGTTCACAATCACCGGGGTTTAAGAAGCCACTCGTTTGCACAGAATAATGGCAGGTCATTTTCCCGGCCTTCGTTTTTACCCAGAGTGCCTTGCTCTATCCTATTTAATGTACAAAAAGAGAGAGGGGGGGGGGGTTAGAGACGCTTTCACGCCACGTCGACCCGTTTTCTCGTGGCTTGATTCTGAACGTGCACTGTGAGACAATCAGTTACATAAAATGTGAAACATGTCAAAGATATTTTTGTTTATTTCTTCATCAGCTGTTGTTGTTGTTTATGTTTTGCTGCATTAATGTGTGTGTGTGTGTGTGTGTGTGTGTGCGCCTAACGAGCGTCTACCAATACCTGTACCAAAGAACACACACACACACACGAAAACCCACACTCTGACTGCATCCTCACTGTCCCTCGCCATCACACACCTCTTTTCGGGTTTAAACGCCAGTTCTAGCTCATCATGTATTCTTTCTTAGTGAGGGGCAAATTCAAATGGGTGACAGTTTTCTCTTCTTTGTTGCTGTTATTGCTTTTGTTGTTTTTTTGGTTTTTTTTACAGCTAACAGCGAGATTTTATTTCAATAAACATGTTAAACGTTAAAGTGGCGCTCTCTGTGCATTCACTGGGTGGGTAAAGAGCGGGAACGCTGCGGGAACGCTGCCGGCTATTCATCTTCATTCCATTCGCTCTACACGTGGAGAGAACATGAACTCACACTGTGGTTTAACTACTTTATTAAGTATGTTAATGATGATTGTATTGAGCAAGACTCCTCAGAATACATCACAATGATACAATATAAAATCAAAAATATTGGTATAAGCATGTCACATACGATCAATTAACTGTACACGATGTTTATAGAATCGATTAAAAGTGTTTCTATCAGGCTCACCAATTTTGACTGCAACTCAAATAATTAGATTATAATGTACTTGACTAGATACAATGTTTATGTAACTATCGTTTTTTATATGCAATCTATTGATGAGATTAGATTAATATATATAGATAAAAAACACCCATATCCTCAGTTTAATTACAGTTAGTGCCCTTTAACATATGTACTATAACTAATGTCCACTAATTAGCTCGAGCTCATTTTACAAATACTTTATTTAATAAATAAACTGTTATCTGAAAGTTTCATCTTAATTTCTTAATATTAAATAAATACAAAAAATACATTCTCTTTATTAACTATTTCGTCTGATTTCCTTTTAAGTTTTCAGCTTGCACCTGATTGGGGATGCGGGGCCTTCCTCACACACACACACACACACACACACAACACACCCACTCGACTACGACACAACCTCCATCACACACACACACACACACACACTCACACACCACACACACCACACACACACACCACACATCCTCACACACACGCCCCACCCCCGCACACACAGCACCACACACTCACCACACCACATCACACCCACACACTTCCAGCTAACAAAGGGCAGAGAGATCAAACAACACTGCTGGGGTCGAAGTCAATATCACTCCGACCTGCAAGTTATTAGCGTCCAAGAGTGAGGAGGTCTCAAGAAGTCAATGAC